AGAGAGAGAGAGAGAGAGAGAGAGAGAGAGAGAGAGAGAGAGAGAGAGAGAGAGAGAGAGAGAGACTTCGACGTGTTGTTTTTTCTCTCTCCCGTGGCCAGTCGGGACATTTCTCTTTTTTTTGGGGGGGGGGGAACGCGGCGAAATTTCTCTTTCTGTGCTTGGGATTAGAGTTTTGGCTACGCACCACCCAGGTTGGTTCACGGTTGGCGTCGGGATCGGGATGGAGGTCCGGAGCAGGGTGGTGCTGGGGAATGAGTAGGAGTCCTCATATCGTTTCCTTTCTTTTTCTTTTTCTTTTTCTTTTTTCTTAATCGTTTTCTTTTTCTTTTTTTACTCGTTTCCTCGTATATGACCTGGGGCCAAGTCCTACTAGCAGCGTCGAGTTTCCTCAACGCCTGAATCTGTACGTGTTTGTGGAGGTGTGCAGAAATCGCGTTGCGTTTCCTCAACCGCACATCGCCACAAACACGTCCAGATACGCACGTTGAGGAAACTCAACGCTTCTAGTGGGACTTGGGCCTCGTTCTCCTCAGCTTCCTGCTCGGAGCGTTAGATCTCGTTAAACGTACGTAAAAAAGAAAAAAGTTAAAAATAAAAAATAAAAAATGTTGACGGCTGTCCAACGATATCTCACAAATGTGTATAGCTGGTTGTTTTCTCTCTGTCCACGTTTGTCGAGCTGCTTTCCTGCCTGGGCTCTCTCTCTCTCTCTCTCTCTCTCTCTCTCTGTGCGTTCTCTCTCTCTCTCCCTCTGTCTCTCTCTCTCTTTTTCTTCCTTCCTCTCCGCGTCCCCTTTTCTCTCTTCGCTCTGCCTTCCTCTCCGCCCCTCTCTTTATTTTCCTTTCTGGATCATGTCTTCTTCTCTCTCCCCTTTTTGGATTTTCATTCGTCTTCTCTTTCTCCCTTTCTCTCCCTCTCTCTCCTCCTCTCCCCTCCTCTCTCCTCCTCTCTCCTCCTCTCTCCTTCTCTCTCCTGTTCTCTCCTGCTCTCTCCTGCTCTCTCCTGCTCTCTCCTGCGCTCTCCCTCTCTCCGTCTCCGTCTCTCCCTACTCCCTCTCTCCTGCGCTCTCCCTTTCTCCCTGTCTCCGTCTCTCCCTACCCCCTCTCTCCCTCTCTCTCCCTCTCCCGCTCCCTCTCTCCCTCTTCCGCTCCCTCTCTCCCTCTTCCGCTCCCTGTCTCCCTCGGTCCCCCTTTGTCCCTCTCTCCTTGCTATGCTGTCATCCCGTCTGCCTTTACTGCTCTTAATCTACCCCCACCTGCACCCCCCCTCTCTCTCTTCTCTCTCTTCGTTTCCGTCTCTATCTCTACCCTTCTCGCTCTCTCTCTCTCTCTCTCTGTGCTTCTCACTTTCTTCTCGGTTTCGCGGGAGTAGATTGCGTGAAGCAGAGGCAGTACAGGGCGCCGAGCGAGCGAGCGAGCGAGAGACACAGAGACACACAGAGAGAGAGAGAGAGAGAGAGAGAGAGAGAGAGAGAGAGAGAGAGAGAGAGAGAGAGAGAGAGAGAGAGAGATTGTCGTTAGAGCAGCGAATGTCAAAGTTGGCTACTACCGGTAGTCGCATCTGAGAACATAGCTCGCGATCTACCGCGGTAATTAGCATATAGCTTGCGATCTACGGCGGTAATTAGCATAGCTTGCGATCTACCGCGATAAGAAGCCAACCGATAGTATGCGAACCCATTTTTGAACGGAGCGACGCGCACTGCCGCGTTCTGGCTTTTTCCGAAGGGCGGGGGCAATATGCTCCACATCCGGGGTAATTGCTGTCCTTATTACCGCGGTAATTGCCGTACTACTAATTACCTTTTTTTTCTGTTTTTGCGATCTACCGCGGTAATTAGCATAGCTTGCGATCTACCGCGATAAGTAGCCAACCGATAGTATGCGAACCCATTTTTGAACGGAGCGACGCACACTGCCGCGTTCTGGCTTTTTCCGAAGGGCGGGGGCAATATGCTCCACATCCGGGGTAATTGCTGTGCTTATTACCGCGGTAATTGCCGTACTACTAATTACCTTTTTTTTCTGTTTTTGCTCATCCATCTCCTCAATCCACGGTGAGTAATGATGGAACCCGGATGAACGGGGGTGGGGAAGATGGAACCCGGATGGTAATTAGTAGTACGGCGTATGGGTAAATGGGACGTGGGGCTCTCGAAGCGCCAGTTAGGTGGTTGATTGATTTCGTTGTGATTGCGACCGTCTAGGCCCGAATAGAACGCACGGTCATGATAGCGAGGTAGCTGTATTTGGGGCAACTTTCGGGCCAGATACTGCGATAAGCACCGTGCGTGTTCTGTTCGGGGGAGGACGGATGGGCTGTTTTGGCTATCGGCTATGGGCATAATCAGACATAGCTCTACCGCTATGGTTAGCATTTGACAAAGTCTATATGCCTGTAATTGGGCCTTTGGCTATGTTTGATGGCTATATGGCTATATAATCAGGGGTATAATGACTATGTTCGACTGCTATACTTGGAATGGTAACGGCTATGGCTATAATCGTGTCTACGGCTATGGGCTATGGGTGGCATTTGCAAAAATTATGGCTATAATCGTGGCAATGGCTATGGCTATACAGTCATGGCTATGGCTGTAAGTACTATGACTATTAGTTACAGTCTTAGCCATAGCCATTGCCATGATTATATAGCCATTGCCATGATTATGGCTATAATCATGGCAATGGCTATATAATCATGGCTATGGCTGTAAGTACTATGGCTATTAGTTACAGTCTTAGCCATAGCGATAATGATGGCAATGGCTATGTGGAGGACTGGCCGTTGTTGAAATGAATGAGCCTCTGGGGACGGGTGGGGGGGGGGGGGGGGGGGGGGGGGGGGGGGGGGGGGGGGGGGGGGGGGGGGGGGGGGGGGGGGGTGGTGTTTCTGAGGGGAGGGGAGGGCGGGGGGCTATCGGATGCAGCTCGGCCTGCAAATAGAGAGAGGAGCCAGCAGCAGGCCAGCAAGGACTCAATCCTACCCTTCTTCACCCGAATAGAACGCCCGGTCATTATACCTGTATTTGGGGCCACTTTGAGTCTAGATACAGTGATAGTGAACGGACGTTCTATTCGGGTGAAGACGGGTGGCGACTTGCTCACAAATGCTTAGAATCGAGGCCTTTCGAAGGCCCTTATTGTTTTTTGCCATTTTTTTTTTGGTTAAAAAAAAAAGGATAAGGGGGGTGAGGAGATACGGAGAGGGCGAAACGGAGCGGAAGGATGGATGGCCGAACAATCGAAGAAGAGCCCCTTTTGTTGGGGAAAGGGAGTCGGCAAAAAGTGTGTGGAGAGAGAGAGAGAGAGAGAGAGAGAGAGAGAGAGAGAGAGAGAGAGAGAGA